TTATTAAATAAATGTAATTAATTTAAATGTAAGTAACCACATGCAGCTAGTGACCACTATATTGGACAGGTCAGTCCTATATGATTAGGTTACTTGAGTGCTTATGAAAATTAATATACATTAATATACACATATATAGGCTGTCTTCAGAGTTATTGTGCAATTAATCATGTTTGTACAAGAATGACAGCTGTTGAAAATGATAAAAGCAGCTCAGTAAGCCTTTCTAGAGATGTGCTATACTTAAAAATCTTGTTTTGGGATTAAGACAGTAAAAGATCCATTTCATTTCTCTTCTATGATGCAACATCATTTTATTTTAAATCCATTGATTCCTGAAACATCAATACCCAAATATAATTCAATCAACTCTTCTCTTCTTCTTGGATTTGTACGGATTTGAAGAGGCCTTTGAACTAGCCACACAAGCATCTTGGGCCTTGACATCCCTCACACCATCACCGGGCTCCAGGTTCTCAGGCACGGCTTTCCTCTGCCCTTCCCCACAGTGCCTGGCACACAGCCTGTGCTCCCTTAAGAAAGCAGGAAGTGCGAAGAAAACAAATGGCTTCTTTTATAGAGCTCTGAATTTATTCAAAGTGTTCAAAGATTTTGCTCTCCCCTCCAAAATATTTTACAATTAATAATAATCAAAACTAGGCCAGGCACGGTGGCTCACACCTGTAATCCCAGCACTTTGGAAGGCTGAGGCGGGTGGCTCACCTGAGGTCAGGAGTTGGAGACCAGCCTGACCAACGTGGTGAAACACCATCTCTACTAAAAAATACAAAAATTAGGCAGGCATGGTGGCAGGCACCTGTAATCCCAACTACTTGGGAGGCTGAGACAGGAGAATTGCTTGAACCTGGGAGGCAGAGGTTGCAGTGAGCTGAGATTGCACCATTGCACTCCAGCCTGGGCAACAGAACAAGACTCTGTCTTAAAATAAAATTAAAAAAATAAAATAAAATAACATAAAATAAATCAAATCTATTGTGTATTTTGTCAGCCACTGTATGAGTTGCTGCTTCCTTTTCTTACTCAGCACCAGCCCCTGCCTCTCCAACTCTTTCCCCCACTCTCTGCTCTCAATATTGCTATAAGATTGTTTATAAAACCCTCCTCTTCTCCCTCCGCAGAGTGGCTTCTCCTCTAGTTTTAGGCCCAGGGCTGCAGGTGAGGCTGACTAGAGAGATGGATGCCTGAGGGGCAGAGAATGCTTTGACTTCTAGGGGAGCGACTCGCTAGCTTTTTTATTGGTCGAGTGGAGGATTATTGTCCTTTTTGTCCTGTGGACACCTGCCCAGAGCCAAATATTTGGTTTGATGATGTTGGTACTCAGAAATTGATACCCCAAAATATGGAACTAAAGAGGAAGCCTCAGTCTGGGCTTCATGTCTCGTGCCTGTAATCCCAGCACTTTGAAAGGCTGAAACAGGAGGATCACTTGAGGCCAGGAGTTAGAGACCAGCCTGGGCAACATAGTGAGACTGTATCTCTACTATTAAAAGAATAAAAAAAGCAGCAGCCTCAAGGTCTCTCTGGCCTGCCCCCTTCCTATCTCTCTGATCTTCTGTCTCTCCTCCTAAAGTGCAGGATGAGACCATTCTCTGGAGTTCCTTTATTGTAGAAACTGGGTCCCTGAAGAGGAATATAACTATCTTCAACCCCTTTCCTGAAATTTCTTTTACTTCTGATTTTTTTTTTTTTTTTTTTTTTTTTTTTTGAGACAGAGTCTTGCTCTGTCACACAGGCTAGAGTGCAGTGCTGTGATCATGGCTCACTGCAGCCCCAGCCTCCCAGGCTCAAGTAATCCTCTCACCTTAGCCTCCTGGGTAGCTGGTACTATGGGCACACGCCACCACACCTGGCTAACTTTTAATTTTTTTATAGAGGCAGGGTTTCACCATGTTCCTCAGGCTGGTCTCAAATTCCTGAGCTCAAGCGATCTGCCCACCTCAGCCACCCAAAGTGCTGGAATTTCAGGTGTGAGCCACTGCACCCGGTTTGAAATTTCATTAATCAGAGAAGATTAAAACTCATATCACAGAGGAAGAGACTGTGCCACACTTAGAGCCCAGAAAAATTGTCCTAAACCACTGTTTGTTCTCCAGTCCCATTCAATCCCCACAGAAAACTATTTACTTACCATCTTCTGAGCACTGGGTCCATTCTTTCCCCCTGAAAATCATTTTCTCCTGCACCCCCCATCTCCCCTTCCCCTGTGAAAAAGGGCATGTAAGTACCTGTACCCTGTTGAGTCACTGGGCAATCATTCTCTTGTGATTCCCCCATGCTATGCATGTTAAAATAAATTTTGTATGCGTTTTTCTCCTATTAATCTGCCTATTGTCAGTTCATTTTCAGTAAACCTTCAGAGGATGAAGTAGGGGCTTTTTCTCTTTTTCACTACAGGGTTGCTCTCCCTCTTCTCTGGTTTCCCCAGGCATGGGTTCATGACAGCTGAGTCTGATGATTGTACCAGATTATCTGCCTGTGGATGTGAGGGACAGGACAAATGGCACACGACTAGAGTGCAGCTTGATCGAGCCCCAACTCCTCAGAGCATGGACAACAAACCCCCAGGGGTGATGTAAACCTTTTTTTTTTTTTTTGAGATAGAGTCTCACTCTGCCACCCAGGCTGGAATGCCATGGAGCGATTTCGGCTCACTGCATCCTCCGCCTCCCAGGTTCAAGCGATTCTCCTGCCCAGCCTGTAGCTAGGATTACAGGCGCACACCACCACACCTAATTTTTGTATTTTTAGTAGAGATGGGTTTCACCATGTTGGCCAGGCTGGTCTCGAACTACTGACCTCAAGTGATCCACTTGCCTCTGCCTCCCAAAGTGCTGGGATTACAGGCATGAAGCACCATGCCCTGCCATATTTTGATTTTTTGATAGGCAAAGCCAGAATCAGCCAGGGCCATGAAAGGTAGGGACATGGGAGGAAAGGTCTAACCACTTAGCTGTGGGGTGAGCAATGCTCCTTCTGACATCCCCTCTTTCATCCCCTACTTCATCCTGCAGGTCCCAGGATGATTCCAGAAAAGACCCTTCCACACAGAACAGGGAAGCAGTGGCAGCTACAAATTCCAGCAGGCCTCCCCTAGCCCTGAGCACTCTGCCATGTGTCTTTTTCCCATCAGCATGACAGAATCCTTTTCTTCTTTGTCTTCCTCCTTTCTGGTATCATCCTGGGACCAGTAGCATGAAGTAGGGGATGAAAGAACCAGTCGCTCAGAGGCTTCATCAGCTCCACTCCTTGCCCGTGACTAACAGAGGACCACATGGTTCTCCAGCTCTTTGCCTGTCATCTCCACCAAGCTCCAGTCATCTTCATCGTGCTCTGAGCCCAGCGGATAGTTGCTGTCCATGTCCCAGGCAAAAGCACATCCATCACTGATCACAGTTTACCCTACAGAGGCCCAAAGCCGCTGAGGAGACAGCACCAGCATGGAGATGAGGGTGGGCATGTTCTTCTCCTTAGCACCCGTGAAGGCCCACCGTCTGTATTCAGCCTGGCTCAGGCTGCGTGCTTTTCCTTCTGAATCCATGAAAACTGTATGGTGCTGGCCACCAGAGAAGCCTACCTGGACTTGGTAGAGTTCTTTTTTTTTTTTTAGATGGAGTCTCTCGCTCTGTCACCCAAGCTGGAGTGCAGTGGCACAATCGCGGCTCACTGCAAGCTCCGTCTCCCGGGTTCACGCCATTCTCCTGCCTCAGCCTCCCGAGTAGCTGGGACTACAGGTGCCTGCCACCACGCCTGGCTAATTTTTTTTTTTTTTGTATTTTTAGTAGAGACAGGGTTTCACCTTGTTAGCCAGGATGGTCTCGATTTCCCAACCTCATGGTACACCAACCTAAGCCTCCCAAAGTGCTGGGATTACACCGCGCCTGGCCTGGACTTGGTAGAGTTCTTGAAGGATCCCAGGTTCTGGGATGTGAAGCAAGATTCTGTGCCTGAGGTTCCAAGCTGATGGTTGTTGAAGAGGCCAAAGCCATTTTCTGTGTATGTGCCCCTTACAGGGGATGGAACGGTGAAACAGGTGCCACAGAAGGCATCAGGTCCCAGTGTCCCCTGAATTTCAGCATATCTGGGGGACCAGGAATCATGCCCTATTGGCCATCACGGTTGGCACATAATTCAAGCACAAGGCCCAGATTTCCCTGCTCCCACAACACAAGGTATCTAGGTCACTGTCTGCTGTCAGCATCACCAAGTGGCCATTTCCTGAGGCCATCTTCACCGTGGCATGTCCAGCTGCACTTGCACAATCACCGTGGTCTTATTCATGGGCTCCAGCAGCCTGACCACACTGTAACTGTTCTGGAAGCAGCCTCAGAGGAAGACACCACCATCTTCTGTGAGGACCACTATGTGACTATCTCCTGCTCACACCTGTATCAACTTCTGTACCAATCTTCCACTGATGTGTCCCTTCCCTCGGCACCCTCCTCATTGCAGCCAAAGCACTAGACCTGGCCATTTTGCTTAGACATATTATGGTGTGCATGTCCCCAGTCTCAGCCTACACAGCATCCTCTGGAACCAGCACCAACGCTGGCTACTTTTTCTTTTGAATGTTGATTATGCAAATTGGGTCATTCTTGTGATACCCAACTAAATCAGAGTAGAAAGGACAGGTTGGAAAAGCATCAGGGCACATAGCACTGATCCAATAACTGAATTCTCCATAAGCCCAGCTGCTGAATGGCCTGGTATAGGTAAGATCAGTTTTACCCAGTAGCTGCTGAAATACCCCGCTATGACTCTCAGACTAGCTTTACTGACCACTGTCACTCACCAATCGGAGCTTGGCAGCTCCCAAAAGCTTCTCCAGTGCCAATGAGCTTTCTTTCAAAACCATATGTAATATTTCCTTTTCTAATAAAACTCCCAACCTTCTCTTTGTCCTTCGGACACACTGAAGACCACCCCATCTGTGTGTATGCACCAAATTGCAATTCTGTGATTCCCAAGAAAAAACATTACACTTAGAGATTTGTCTTTATATTTTTATTTTGACTTTGACACTCTCTGTCACACTCTCCCCCGGCTCCAGTGGGCCTACATTGCCCTGGTCCAGTGTCAGCATCAAGCCTGGTTCAGTTTTATGGGACCTCTGGGAGACTGAGGGATGAAAAAAGTGGTCCCGTCAGGTTTTCCGGTCAGGAGGGCTCAGCTATGGGGGGAGCTAAAAGCATAGCAGGAGGCAGTGGCCCTCACTGTCTGGGTACAAGTGTCCTTCACATTATTGCTTTTGGGGAAGAAATCTTCTGCGAGTGATCTTCTCTTAGTTATGTACTTGGGTAAAATCTTCCTGTCTTCAGCACAGGTTGACCTCAAGGAATGCCAGTGCTCACCAGAAGGGCCACCAAATACCCAGAGCATATGCTCTGCAGGTCTCGTCCCAACCCTGGATGAGAAAGGGCATTTAAAAGTTCTTAAAGGTTTTCTTTTCTTTCTTTCTTTTTTTTTGAGACGGAGTCTCATTCTATTGCCCAGGCTAGACTGAAGTGCTGCCATCTTGGCTCACTGCAAGCTCCGCCTCCCGGGTTCAAGCAATTCTCCTGTCTCAGCCTCCCTAGTAGCTGGGACTACAGGTGCCCGCCACCACACCCGGCTAATTTTTGTATTTTTAGTAGAGATAGGGTTTCACCTTGCTAGTCAGGCTGGTCTCAAACTCCTGACCTCAGGTGATTCACCTGCCTCAGCCTCCCAAAGTGCTGGGATTACAGGCGTGAGCCACTGCACCTGGCCTCTTTTCTTTTTTTTTCTTGAGACAGAGTCTTGCTCTGTCACCCAGGCTGGAGTGCAGTGGTGTGATCTTGGCTCACTACAAGCTCCGCCTCCCGGGTTCACACCATTCTCCTGCCTCAGCCTCCTAAGTAGCTGTGACTAAAGGTGCCTGCCACCACTCCTGGCTAATATTTTTGTATTTTTAGTAGAGTCTGGGTTTCACTGTGTTAGCCAGGATGGTCTCGATCTCCTGACCTTGTGATCTGCCTGCCTCGGCCTCCCCAAGTGCTGGGATTACAGGCATGAGCCACCATGCCTGGCCCTTTTTTTTTTTTTTAAAATTGAGACAATGTCTTCCTCTGTCACCCAGGATAGAGTGCAATGGCATGAACATGGCTCACTGCAGCCTCAATCTCCCCGGCTCAAGCAATCCTCCCACCTCAGCCTCCTGAGTAGCTGGAACTACAGACATGCACCACCACACCTGGCTAATTTTTGTATTTCTTGTAGAGATGGGGTTTTGCCATGTTGACCAGGCTGGTCTTGGACTCCTGGGCTCAAAGGATTCTCCTGCCTCAGCCTCCTAAAGTGCTGGGATCACAGGTGGGAGTCACTGTGCCCAGTTCTTAAAGGTTTTCCTACTTAAGCTTTCCAAGTCTTAAAAATGCCTACACCTACTGAGTACTCTCCCTCTCCTATCCATGCCCAGCTTGGCAAAAGTTAGTTCTACTTAAACACATTTACACTGTTATAGGCTCTGTTTATTTGCTTTTTGAACAAGTTTGGATTGTATGCTATCTGGAGACAAGTGGCAATATATATCATCGGAGGTCAAATGTTCTCCTAAATTCACTGACTTCTTTTTCCTTTTATTCTTTCCTTAAAATTAAATTTCTTTTTATTTTTTAAAATTAATTTTTCTAGAGACAGGGTCTATGTTGCCCTCTTCCCTGACAAGAGGTATCAATAAACAAAGTAAATGTGAATCCCTATCCTCAAGGAGCTTACATTCTAATGTCTCTAAGGGTAACATATATAAGGTCAAGCCTCTCATATGATACCTCATGCTAGTAAGGTTTTGAATTTATAAACGTTTGACTGCAAAATGCACTGAAACTTAGGGAGAGCTGGAAAGTTTCTCAGGGGTGTTTAGTGCAACCTAGATACCAATGTGAACCACAAGAAACACTGAGGTAGAAGCTGTTACTTTGTGTATAACATGCTATTTTCACCATTAGCATTTTCCAGAGTTCAAGTTTTTTTTTAAACATCTTTACAATTATATTATAGGAAGTATATGAGAACAACAGGAATGGCCACCTCTACCTACTGCCCGCACACCTCAATCCAATGTGTGTGTGGGTTTTTTTGTTTTGTTTTGTTTTTGAGACAGAGTCTTGCTCTATGCCCAGGCTGCAGTGCGGTGGTGCAATCTCAGCTCACTGCAACCTCTGCCTCCTGGGCTTAAGCTATTCTCCTGCCTTAGCCTCCTGAGTAGCTGGGACTACAGGTACACACCACCATGCCTGGCTACTTTTTGTATTTTTAGTGGAGATGGGGTTTCACCATGTTGGTCAAGCTGGTCTTGAATTCCTGACCTCAGGTGATCTGCCCACCTTGGCCTCCTAAAGTGCTGGGATTATAAGCACGAGCCACGACGCTCGGCCTCAATCCAATTAGGAAACAGGGAAATAGGACTTACTGCCCTGAAGAGTCAAACTCTGTACTGAATAAGAGAGATATGAAAAGTCAGTAGATACTGCTAAGTAAGCTTTTTAATTGCATGGACACAACTGAAGAACGAATGTGTGAATCAGAAGGAAAGGGTCTTTGATCAGCAATAGCAGTGAGGGAAAGAAAAGTGAAAGAAGTAAATGTTTGCTGTTCAGTGGAAGGAGAGGTGCCAGGCACACTTTTAATCCTTAAGGCAGGTGTTGCCAAGGAAGTTTTAGAACATCCTTTGTGGTCTGGCTTTTGGAAATGGTTCAGTGCCGAAAAATATTTGCGGCTATTGAAAGATAAATTTAGGTACATTAAAATTTTAGAGTTTAAAGTTACAGTTAGTAGGAGGAGGAACAAGTTCTGGGTTCTATTGCACAGTAGGGTGACTACAGTCAATGACAATATACTTCAAAATAGTATGGAAGATGGTCAGGTGCAGTGGCTCACACTTGAAATCCCAGCACTTTGGGAGGCTGAAGTGAGTGGATAACTTGAGGCCAGGAGTTCGAGACCAGCCTGGCCAACATGGTGAAAGCTTTCTCTACCAAAAATACAAAAATTAGCTGGGTGTAGTGGCATACGTCTGTAGTCCCAGTTACTCAGGAGTCTGAGACGGGAGAATCACTTGAGTAGCTGGGACTACAGACAGGGTTTCACCATGTTGGCCAGGCTGGTCTCAAACTCCTGGCCTCAAATAATCCACCCTCCTTGGCCTCCCAAAATGCTGGGATTATAGGTGTGAGTTACAGTGCCAAGCCAGCTATTTAAAAATATATAAAAAATTATTGACTGTAGTTACCCCACTGTGCTATCAAATACTAGATCTTATTAATTCTATTATTTTGTATCCATTAATCATCCCCATTTTATCCACCCCTCTCCCCACTACCCTTCCTAGACTCTGCTAACCATTATTCTACTCTCTCACTCTGTGAGTTTTAATTTTTAACTCCCACATGTGTAAAATGTCTTTGTGTGCCTGGTTTACTTCACTTAACATAATGTCCTTCACTTCCATCCATGTTGTTGCAAATTACAAGATCTCTTTTTTAAGGCTGAATAATATTTCATTGTGTACCACATTTTTTTTTATCCACTCATTCCCTGATGGACACTTAGGCTGATTCATGGGAGTGCAGCTATCTCTTCGATATGCTGGTTTTTTCCTTTGGGATATACACCTAGCAGTGGGATTGCTGGGTCATATGGTAGCTCCATCTTCAGTTTTTTGAGGAACCTTCATACTGTTCTCCACAGTGGCTGTCCTAATTTCCATTCCCACCAACAGTGTACAAGGGTTCCCTTTTCTCCACATCCTCACCAGCATTTGTTGTTGCCTGTCTTTTGGATAAAAGCTGTTTTAACTGAAGTGAGATGATACCTCATGTAGTTTTGACTTGCATTTCTCTGATGATAAATGATGAGCATTTTTTATATACCCACTGACTATTTGTAATGTCTTCTTTTGAGAAACATCTATTCAGATATTTTGCTCATTTAAAAATAAGATTATTAGATTTTTTTCTATTGCATTGTCTGAGCTCCTTATATATTTTGGTTATTAATCTTTTGTCAGACATGTAGTTTCCAAATGTTTTCTCTCATTTGGTGGGTTGTTTAGTTGAGAAGATTTTGAATATTCTCACCGCAAAGGAATGACAAGTGTTTGAAGTAATGAATACGTTATTTATCCTGATTTGATCATTACACAATATACATATGTATCAAAGCATTGCATTGTATCCTATAAATATGTAAAGTGCCAATTAAAAACAAAATAAAACTTTTTTTTTTTTGAGACAGAGTTTCACTCTTGTCACTCAGGCTGGAGTGCAATGGCGCAACCTTGGCTCACTGCAACCTCCTGGGTTCAAGCAATTCTCCTGCTTCAACCTCCCGAATAGCTGGGATTATAGGCACCCATCACCATGTCTAGCTAATTTTTGTATTTTTAGTGAAGGTGGGATTTCACCATGTTGGCCATGTTGGTCTCAAACTCCTGACCTCAAGTGATCTACCCTCCTTAGCCTCCCAAAGTGCTTGGATTACAGGCATTAGTCACTGTGCCTGGCCAAAATAAAACTTAAGACTGTTTGAAGATTTTATTTGAGCAGATAGCAATGCATGAATTGGGCAGTGCCAGATTGCATGTGGTTCAAAGGTGCCACCAAAGTGGGATCAGGGAAGAAGACTTTTATGAGGTGAAGGCAAAAGCAAGGCAGATAAAACACTTGATTGGCTGAAGTGAACAAGCCTTATTTGGATCATTCTGATGCAAAGTCCCTAGCTAAAGGCTAGTTGGTAGTTTCTGATTGGTTAAGCTTAAGTTTCATTTTACTATTAATACTGAGCAGGATTTCAGTTTGTTTCTGTAGGAACCCAGGATGCTGGCACCACCACAGCCTAATGGCCTCCAATTAATTGTTTTAACACCTCCTGTGTGAATGTTCACCAAAATGTCCACCCACAGGGAAGGCTCTTAGTAATGAGGTTGAAAAGATGCCAGAAACTGGATTCTAATCCAGATTCTACGTTTACTAGCTGTGTGGTCTTGGGCAAATGGATTTACAACTCTGTGCTTATGCCTCTAAAATGCAGACAATATTAATACCTTCTCATAAGGTTTTAGTGAGGATTATATGAGGAAATATAAAGCCCTTAGAACAGCATCCAATACATGGTTGGTACTATAAGTATTTGCTATTATTATTAATAATGTATGTCAGGTACTTTTAGTGGAGCTTACACTCTCACTGTGAGGGGATGGTGGGAGACAGCCAATAAACAATCATAGTGATTCAATTGTATAGTATGTAAGAAGTGAATAAGTGCTGAGAGCAAGGTAAAGGGGACTGGAAGTGAGAACTGCTCACAGTTTCCCATCTATATTAACATTCTCTTACCACTGGGCTGTCTTCACTAACATAGCTTTTCTATTCTGTCTCCATCAATATA